CAGATAAAGAAAAAATTTGAATAAGACATTAATATTCTAGGAAACCTTGTTAGCACTGGAAGAGTGTGATGAAAATAGTTAAAGACAGCTAGGACCCGTTCCTGTGGTAGGGGTCTATTAATAAAACCTGCTGCACATGCATGCTACACGCACTAAAAGTTGGACAAATTGTGAGAAAACACTATTCAGATAATTGGAACAGAGAAGTTACTGATTAGATAATCGATATTATATAAGATGATTGTAATTTTTATCAGTGAAATACTTATAATTATTCATAACATACATTTTTGGTGTATTGTAGGCTAGTTTTGACAAACAACCTTCTCTAGACTATTACAGTAGCTCTACCAAAAAAAAAAAAAAAAATCTGTGTTATCCAACTGTGTCAGTGCCATCTTTCAGGCAACAGAAGTGATTTGCTGTTTCATCAAGGGGAAAAAACATTTAGCTGTGGAGGAAAGATGCCAGAAGATCCTACCTATGGCAGAGGATCAGTGCTGCCATTTCTCACTGGGGGGAAAAGAGGACAAAAGCACCAGCATTTAATTCCTGCTCCAGTTTCCAAAAATGTTGGTATTTACATAGATGTAGACTGACACGCGCAATCTTTTGCAATTGCCTCAGAGGGATGGATGTACTTTCCTCGCCTGTTCTTTCTGAAACCTGCGGAAAATCAAAAAAGAAACTGCTTATGATCAAAAAGTACCCAGGGACAGGAGAGAGAAAATTAGCTGAGCTCTTCATGCATTTATTTATACTGCAGAGTATTCGAGGCAATAGGCAATTATTTTAATGGAATAAATTTGTGATTAAATGACATATTTAATAATTCTCATATAGAAAAGTATCATTGATTATGCCATCACTTTCAACCCAAGATAAAAGATGAACTATTCTGGAATGGAGTACTGTGTTTTGCGGTGGATGCATTGTCCAGTCCCATTTTCATTGCTTGTCTCTCTCTGCCAGGCTACCTGGTTAAGTACAGGAGTTTGCTCATTTTCTACAAAACCGTGACTTTCTACAACTGTCTTTGGTTACAAGTGATACAACATTACTAAATTCAGTGAACTACTTGTGCGAGGAAATTTTTGCTTAGAGTGACAGTCTGTCCTGATGTTCTGCTTTTATCATTGTAAAGCTAAAGCTTAATCTTGGGCAATTTAAAACTTTTTGGGGAGTTTGAGTAAAGACTGAATTAAAAATTAGATCAAACTTAATAATTCTCCTGGGAAGGGTATTATGTTTCTCCATACTCAAGACAGATGTGTAACATCCCCCATAAATGCAGTGGTTGTCATTAAAGGTTTCCTTTTATATTTTATTTGTAAAATTAAGTGTGTGCTATTCTAAAGTGTTAACAATCCTCAGAATTACCATTATTATCAGAATCAAGCTGTAGGAAATAATTAGAAAGATCAAATATTGGTAGAAAACCTTTAAGAAGCAACTACTGCAGGTTAAGAATTTGGGTTTTCTCTGATGCTTTATTATAACTCATTATACCTAACTGGAATGAGTTGACTATACATCAACATGTGTAGAAAAGAATCCGTCTATAGCTGAAGATTATTTCACTGGTGATTTAATATGTGATGTTAATGCTCATGACTGCCATGAAATAGATCATGTGGAAATAAACCGTACGATCATCTGGAATGTCTGCCAGCGGATTTTTTGCAAGATTACGAGTACGCTGTCTGTGGCATGTTCAATTTTGTGAAGACAAGTCAAATTCACTTATATTACACGGAAATTAAAAAGTCAGCGATTTGCAAAAAAAGCACATTGAGATTTTTAAGGAAGACAAAATGATTTAGACTAGAATATTCTCGTTATTAAAAATGTATTTAAATCACTAGGTTTGACTTCATTATCTCGTCCGTTTGGAGTATAATGTGAGCCCCACTTGTGAGCTTGCAAGCTCCATCAGTATGATACCATACGACTCACTGTAGGACTTCTATGGGAATGAAGCATATGAACAAATCAGGCTGGGAATGGATGCAGGCTTTACTTACTAAAGTGGAGTATTTTGATCATATTGTTTTGTGAGTGTGGATTCCATCTTCAAGTCATCGCAAAGCTCACACCATTGCTTTCCATGCAAGTCTTTGAAAACTAAAGGAGGTAAAAAAAGACCAACAGAGGATGATGTTGTTAGCACAATAATTGGAAACCCACTGGAAGCATCAGGGCTTCTGTAATACAACAGAAAATCCCTTCTATATGTCAAACTGCTGAGCTGTCGGTCCTCTCTGGTGTTTCCTGTGGGCAGTCCCCAGAGCTCTCAAGCTGGAAACCAATTGGACATTTTATAGCTGATGTCTTTCTTTCATGGAAATGAAGATAGAAAAGGTTTCCTAGCCTAGTCCATCTTTACAAGGAATAGAAATATAAAGTGAACCACTTACTTGCAAACTTAACTCTACTGGTATTGTAAATATAGGCTAACGGTAGAAAAAAATAATATATTCCTTGGTACAAATGGGAGTGCCAGACTTTTGCAGGATCTTTTCTCCTTGGAAGAAAGAGAGACTGTTTGAGGTAGTGCCATGAATAAATGAGTATATTTCAGATCAAATTCTTCTGTGGTTTGAGATTCTTGGTCTCTTGTTCTCTGTCTTATGAAAGAAAATACTTTTTGCCAAAGTGGACCTAAGCAGCTGTGCAGAAGATTTGTATGCTTTTCTACATTTTAGCTTTTAATTTTCTAGTCTGTATCCCTTCTGCAGCAGAAATCCAGTGATCCAAGCAGACTCACAGTAGAGCCTGGCAAAATAAGAGTGTTAATCCTCTGGGGACCTGTCAAATTGTGCGCTGTTTTTGAGGACGGACCAGAGATACAATCATTCTCACCGGGCTGTTTTTTAAATTTCCAACAACTCTACAGCATTCACAGTTGCTCCCATGATATTAATGTTTGATGTATGGAAAAAGTGCCAGACTTTGAAAGGAATGGGATTAAAGTATTAGGAAAAAAAATTGGTTGCTGTATATTTTGGCTCATGGTGATAGAGAAAGCCTTCAACATCCTGGCAGTTATATGATGTTTATTTTTATATTTTTACAGCAGAGAAATATTTTTACAGTGATGAAGATATTTTGTGTGGCATTAAATATGTTGTGTTTATCTAGAAGTAGTGGGCTTTTTACGATTTCTATTTCTCAGTCATTAGCATATTAATAAATAATTTCTACAAATTAACATTGGTTAACCTTTAAGGGTTTGGCATTCCAGAGTCATCTGCAGGGTTACTTGCAGTGAACTTGCATCCATTTAGCCTGCAGTTAGGTCAGAAAGAAGACCTAAAAATACAGGTCCATTATGTGAAACTTAACCCTCTTGATTCTTCAAGACTTTTTTTTTTTTTTTAATAAGCAAAGAAATCTTGTTTCCTCACCTGATTAATTTCTAAATCAATTCTGCTTCCAGGTGGTCTCACTATAGAATAAGTTCTCACTGGAAAGGACAGACTGCGTTGAACAAGCAGATTTTTCTGAGGCAACATGGTTTTAGGCATTTTCAGTTATATTTGTAGGGCAGTGCTCAACTCATCTCCCAGTATTTCTGTTGTAGGTTAAGGAATGGATGCGGAGGCAAACAACTAAGAGTAAATTAGTGGTAGGGAGCGTGGATAATGTTACAGTGAAGTTTAATGTAACTTTCATGTTTCATTTCCCAAATAACTTAAGGAGTTCAAATTTTTTTTTCCTTCCAAGTAAGGAAAATAGTCAAATACTTTTTAGAATTTTCTGGGAAGAATAAATTTGAGAATCAGATGTCAGAAACATGAAGCTTAAAAATGTTAAGTTAGAAGGTATTTTTACATGTTATGAGTTTATTTCATCAAGTGCTTGTTGTTGCAGGATAGTATCTACAAATTCTTCCTATGAATAATTATGCCTTTTTTCCCCAAAAACATCACAGCTGATAGGTGATACTGTTTTGAAAAATAATTTTTCTTCTCTAGAGTCAGTGTCTTTTGATTCTTTTGCAATAAGATAGGATGATACTTATCTTTTACATTTTTTTCCCATAATTTTTAACCAAGTGAAGATGATTTTATGTCAAGGGAAACAATTTGTCACACCAGCCTGACAACCACTGGTTTCACAAACAATGACTCAAACTTCGAGGCATCCCAGACATGGCAAACTAAGGAATGCACCTGATTTTTTCCAAATAGACTTGTTTATCTCTAAAAATAAATCATAATAGATTAGGTTAAGAGCACATGTATCAGGAAATATAAAGCTGAGCTCTAACAGTCTTGGCCTGTTTGGTTTGTTTTGTTTTTGTTTTTTTTTTTTTTTACTGGAAAGTCAAGGAAACAAAGAGTATTGTCCTATCCACATATTCTCTTTTGATACTTGATACTTTATGCAAACTCTAAATTATATCCATATAAAAAATGAATATGCTAATTTTAAAGTAACAAAGACCTCCGACTTCCACAAAAAATGTTTGGGAGAATAATCAGGAATGTTTAATATGTACGATAGATCCCTTAAGTATTTTGCAAGCAGTGCATTGACTCTGAAAATAGTCATCAAGAAAACTAAAAGATAATTCCTTGTAGCAGGAAATTAATCAAGTAGACACAAAACATTTACTGGGGCTTTTTCCTCTGATGTGATTTTTTCCCCCCACTATTTTATCTTGCATCTGACTTGTAATTTTCCAGTGCCTTTTGCCCTCCTCTGTAGCCTACAGATGCCCTTCTGCTTTTCTGTTGAAATTTAGTTGTTCATGGAGGGTAGCTGACTATTAAGCTGATGCTTGCTGCCTCCTTGCATCTATATGAGCTGATTTGTGCAATAATTAGAAATATTTCAAATTTGTTGTTTCTTTGAGTTTTGTTTTTGAAAACCTGTTTTAAATACATACAGGACAGTAGAATGCAGATTTCCATGTTCCTTGCATGTATTATGGCTAAACATCTTTATCTTTGAAATTCATAAACACAGGAAAATTCTTTTATTTCTTTCCTCAGACCCAAATAATTATTACCACAGAAGAAATGAAATGACGACCACAGATAACCTTGACTTTAAGCATCACAACTACAAGGAAATGAGGCAGGTAGGCAAAGAAGCTGGTGTGTGACCTCCTGGATGGAAGGCGGATGGGTGAAGGCTTTTTGAGCTCTTGGGCAATCTGAATTCTACCTGTTAAAATCCATTATTAAACGATATATGAAATCTATTAAAAATATCCTTTTTTCCCCTATTTTAATCAATTATTCAAAGCGGACATCTATTTAAATCCCCAAATCTTAATTTGTACATCACCTAACCTTGAACAGGTGACACTACATGACAGAGGGAGTATTTACACCTAACATACCATAATTTTTCTTCCATGTGTATTTGAGTGGTGAACGTTACAGTGGTTGACCCTGACTTAACCATCTGAATTCTCTTATATTTCAGTGTTTTAGATGATCAGAATATATATACATATATATTATACAGAGTCCAATTCTGTATTCATAGCTGCAAAAATCAGCAGTAACTCAAGAGAAACCACTGCAATTATTTTGTTGGCCAGGAGAAAGGAAGAAAAAAAAAATCCTGTTAGTATAGTTTTAGATCTAACTTGTTAATCTTATTCCTTTAACTTCAAATAGCCAACCTCGTTGCTGTTTTTGTTGTTGTTGATTTTAATCTTGCTTCATATCACCACAGACTTAGGTCTGGGTTGTGCTAAAGAAATATTTCTGGACGTTTTCTCTTCAAATATAAAGATAAACTGTTTGGACTTGAAGTGTGTGAATCGTTTACTGTGTGCTGGATTTTCAGTGTATTTATACTGCATGAATCACCATTCATTTTTATTGAGCAATTGTGTACTGAGTCACACGTTTATTTCGGTAGAGATTTTCTGGCCTATATTTCTTAGCACAAAGATTAGACAAGTAGAAATTCCATTGGCATAATTACTGTCAAGAAGAATAAAGTGAAGTGTATTTTAGATTCTGATTGCAGAAAGACGAGTCAGTCAGGTTAGACATATCTTGGGGAAAAAAATGCAGCTTTAAAATAAAATGTTTTTCCATTTTTTTCATGGAAGAAGAAAATTTGGGACTGTGGCTGGGAGCTGGTCAGTTGTGAACCGTCTTGGACTGTGCTCTCCCAAGTTCTGGTTTTCTGTGTGTCAAAATAATTAGTTAGAGCTTATTGGCTTCTAATTGTGTTCTGCTGATAGTAGGCAGAAGATTGTGGGTTGGGTAGCCATAAGCTTTATATCCCCATAACCAGTCTTAGAACTTCATTATTTCTTTCCTGAGTGTAAAATGGAATAATAACTCAATTTCCAGAGTCAACTTATTATTTTTTTAATACTGTACATTATTGTGAGATTTGTTAGCTACTTCGCTACCAGCCATCTTAGAAAAATTCTGTTCTTTGAGCTTATTTGTGATAAACACTGAAGAAGGAGGAGGAGAGAGTGTTCCCAGGGCTGTGTTTTGGAAGCATTACATTACATTGCAATATGTCAAGTATTTGTGAGAAGGAGGGATTTTCTCAGTGTCAGATTATTTTAATAGAACTCTCTGTTTAGGAAGATGAAATTTATAGTACCAATTTTTTCTCTTAAAAGAGCATTCAAGATTCTTCTTTCAGTCAATGGGAACACTTGCTGTATCTCATATGCAGAAGTCAAGATGGTCTTGCAGACCCAAATACTTACATGATGTATTCATGCTGTGTAGGATGCTGTTAAAATGGTTGCTAGATATCCCCAGAAATAGTTTGAGATGGACATTTGAGTACACCCTTGTATTTGAAATAATTAACCTGGACTATATCTTTCTTAGGAAATAGGAGTGTTAATTTTGAAATCCATTTAACTGGCTTTGACTCATATCTCGGGGCAAGCCAGTCTCCCAGCATCCCTGAGGGCTTGTGTTGCTTTTCATGGTCAGCTGCGTTTATGAAGTGATGCAATGATAGTGCAGATAATTCTTCTGAATTTCTCGGAATTTCTGAATTTTCTAAATTTCTGAAAATTCTCAGAAATTCAGAATTTCTGAGCGCTGTATACATTACCAATTGAACAGGTTTATTTCAGGGTGAAACAACCAAATGTAGAAGACCAGAGCGATACTGAGCAAACACCCTAGGCTGCGTTCAGCACCAGATTGACAATCTCTGTCTGATCATTGCCAGGCTTAAGAAGGGGACAGTTTCTGGTTTGGCCCACAGTAGGACAAGAAATACAGAGATCTCCACAGAGGGTAGAGAATAGCACTAACCTGAAAGGCATTGACTAAGAGTCCTCTTGCCTCCTCTAAAGTGTGGATGGCACTTAGACCTATGTTTAATGCACCTTTTCTGCAAAATGGAGGAATCAGACCTTCAGAGACCAGTTTTGCAGGGCTTCTTCAAAGACTACATGTAGCATTTTTCCAGGGCAGTAATAGGATAAATAATTGGTAGTGACAAACAAATAGGAACTGTCAAATAAGAACTGTTAGTGAACATAATTGGGGAAGTGTTTTACAGTCCTGCTGGTTGGTAATAAAGCCCTGACCGACTGTTATCATCAATTGTCTCTGACAGTTTGTACAAGGCACAAAGAAAACACTGTGACATTTCAGGTGACCTGTTGTGCTGTCTGTCGGAAATGGGTATGACAAAAGCAAATATGAAATGTGTTCATTTTCAGTATTGTATTTACATATAAACATTTGACTCTATTACTGTATCCATACTGGTATCAAAAGAGTCACAGTGAAGTCTACTACAGAGACCATAGTTCAGGAAGGGTTCTTTGTTTGACTTGGAAAGTAATCATATACTTGCAATTAAAGAGATGATGGGGAGTTTACTAAGGCAAATACAAATACTTCCACCCGTTGTAATATACATTGAATCTGGTTCTAGGCATGTTTCTCTTTAGCAATGGACTCTGGGTATCCTGAGCCCACTGCAGTGCCTGGCATGTTAGGAAACCTTCTGCTCTGCAGATTTCACATCTTGGGGAGCTGCATGGATGCGGTGATACATCAGCCAGGAGGGACTTTTCCTTAGGAAAGGAATTAGCAAACACAGACCTGAGACAGTAACGTGATCTATCCATTTATCCATTTCAAGGCCAGGCTGGATGAGGCTTTGAGCAACCTGGGCTAGTGGGAGGTGTCCCTGCCTGTGGCAGGGGAGTGGAACTCGATGATCTTTAAGGTCCTTTCCAATCCAAACCGTTCTGTGATTCTATGATTACAGAAAATGGGTTTTAGTCTGCTGAAATAACCTTCTTTTAATGCAATATCTGTACTCATTGGCAGAGTGAAAAAAAATAATATTTATCTTGGAGAAAAACACAGTATCTGATCCAATAATAATCCATTTCATCCTATTGTCAGTGGAACATAAATTTATAATCCCCACAACCTTGGATAAGTTTTTATCTGTGAGTCTCTAGCAAAAGGCCCATAGCTCCATATCTGTTGATAGTGGTTCTGGTTCATCATGAGTGGGTTCAGATGTGATAGCTCTTGGCCACGAAGATTTGAGGCAGTCTGTCTCAAAAAGCTGGGAATCAATTTGTCGGAACCAAACACTTGAAAATATAAACCAATGTCCTCTGGCTTCATGCATGTGCTTCAGGTGGAACAACAAATGATGACATACCTGCTTGTGTACGCCCAGAATATTAAAAAGAGTTCCATGGAAATAGCTGGGTACTAATAATACAGACTGATGATGATGACAGTGGTGAGAAAAGTAGATATGAAACTAAAGGATACACTGAAAGAGCATCACCGACTGAATTTTCCAGACAAGTTCTGAGTTTAGATTTGCGAAAGAAATTATTTCTCATAAGTATAAAACCAATGTGTGAGATGAACAAACATACAAAAATAACATCTTTTTGGTCTCTTTGCAACATGATTATAAATAGAAGCAAAGTCTTTTATGAGAGGAATTTTAATGATGTTCTTCCCAATGTGAATTGTGTTTCCACTTAGATTTGCTAAATGGTGGCATGGGAATCAGACACATCTAATTATTGCGTTTTTTAAAATCATCAGCCTTGTCATCATCCAATATTGTTTCTAAATTAACACTCTGTGAGCAAAGAGTTTTGTTAGGCTACAATATTTCTTCAATAATGCATGCACCCTTGTTTACAAAAAGGTTGTCCAATTAATAGTCCCCAGGGTTCCAATTTACAGTAAAGTCCTTATTTATTTCTTTAATGCCTTCCAGTGGAATAAAATCAAGATAGATAAATTCTTATTATCTAAAACTATTTGCAATAACTTCTTGTTATTAACACATAAATTTTCAGTCTTATTTGTAAATTTTAATATTCACCTGAAATGCCGCAGTGAAGTGTTTGTTTGTGGGAGAATTTAGACTCCAGATACCCTTGTCTGGATGACATCTGTGTAATTCCATTGGTTTAAACTGAACTATACCCTTAACCATGACCTTCCCTATGCACTTAATAAGCACTAAGGCTATTTGATCACGTTTTGACTATGCCATGCAACATCTGCTGAAACAGTGAATCGAATAGATTTTGATGGGAGAAATGTCTTCAGACAGGCTGTTGGGCATTTCCATTATTGATTCTATTTTTTGCTGAAACTTGATAAGCGAGTTCTGAGGAATCTGGTATTTACCGAAGGAGTATATCCTGCTGTGTTTGTGGAGTCATCCAGATTATATCTATTTCACTGTTTTGGCCACATCAACACTGTGATAAATAATGATTTTTCCATGTGAGATTTCACACCGTAATACAAGAAGGGTGGGCTTGGTTTTTACCTCATCAGAGGCAGGTGTAATCAGAATTCAAAGGGAAAATCATAGAATCATGGAGTCACAGAATGGTTTGGGTTGGAAGGGACCCTAAAGCCCATCGAGTTCCACCCCTCTGCCATGGGCAGGGACACCTCCCACTAGCCCAGGCTGCTCAAAGTCCCATCCTGCGTGGCCTTACACCTCATGTAAGAAAGATCTTGAACCTCACCTGCTCTGTGGTGTTTCAGCAGAGAGTATTCAGCTTGTTCCAGCTGAATAAAGAGGCTGTGTGATAGCAGAGCCATAATTAGTGAACTAAACATAAAGCTTTTAAAATTACAAAATAATCAGAATAGAAAATGAAGTTTTTGCTGCAACCAATTTGGGATGAAATAATTAATAGTGGATCTATTTTAATGCTGCATTGTCTAACTATATGTCATTTTTTTTGTTGGCAGTTGATGAAAACTGTGAATAAAATGTGCCCGAACATCACAAGAATTTACAATATTGGAAAAAGCAACCAAGGACTAAAGCTGTATGCTGTTGAGATTTCTGACAACCCAGGAGAACACGAAGTTGGTTAGGATTTAGTCTAACTAAATCTGTTGAAGGGTGTTGGGATTTGGCTTTTTTTAAAAAAAAAAAAAATCCTCATTCTCAGTATCTGCAGCAATTATTGCTGTTGGAATTATATCCATGGCAGCAAAGATTTCAAATGTATGTGGGAGGAACTTCAGCGTTATATTTCTAAATTGGGAGGAGGAGGGTGAACACAAATAGAAGGCATTTTGAATGTAGGATCAAATTCTTTAATGATAATGAGTTTTATTCTTTACAATAACAAATAAAAGTTAATTTTAGTGCTGGGGAATGGATTTTAGTTGTGAGGATTTATGTAGCTTTGGATAGAAATCTGTCCTTTTTTAATACATGGGGTGAATGCATTGCAAGCAAGGACAAGTCTCCCAAATCATCTTTCACTGGTGAGTCTTGGGGTAGTTTCCTACGGTGATGTAACTCTTCAGAATAGAAACTCAATCAGGTGTTGGTCCTTCTGTGGAGCAAGATAAAGATCTCACTATGATAGTGCCCAGGACAGTTGCTGGAATAAAGGAGTCTTGTGCTTTGCCGTGTCCATAAGTACTCTGATGTGTGTCCATCCCCCCCAAAGAGGGACTGTGACATGCTCCTAAGACATGTCTTGGTTTTGCCATGGGAGATGGAGCACAATAGATGTTAATCTTTCAGTAGGCTTGGGGCTGATGTTAGACTGCAGTCTCTGAATCTCAGAGGTTAACACCAGAATAATTCATCTAATTTGCCTTGGCCACTTACCTGTGTTTGAATGTCCTGCAGAAAACATGCAAGGAGTGTATCATGGGCCAAACTGGGAGGGTGGGTCCAGCCTGTTCTTCTTTCTTTTCTTCTTTCACCAACAGAAAGTAATTAATTATTTCTGTACAGTTACATTTTGACCTATCATTTGTTCAGTTAAGGCATTTCTCCAGCTCTCGTTAAGCAGAATGTTGCTGATTGACATCAATGAAATTTGGCAGATGTTTGGCTTGCTGCTCTGACTGCAGTTCTGCCCCATGTGTTTTCAACAGGTGAACCAGAATTTCGGTACATTGCAGGAGCTCATGGGAACGAAGTACTTGGACGTGAGCTAATCCTTTTGTTAATGCAGTTCATGTGTCAGGAATACCTGGCTGGGAACCCGCGCATCGTACATCTCATCGAGGATACCAGAATCCACCTCCTGCCCTCGGTCAACCCAGATGGATATGACAAAGCATATAAAGCGGTAATATGATTACAAACATATCAAGGAATTATTTTAACTGTATTAGATGAATGAGTTGTGGTCCTGTTGTCATTTTTTTTTCAAAGATCATATTTTACAAGCAATCAAAATACATTAAAAAATAAATGCATTGAAGCAAGCATAAGCCACTGAAACATCTCCTGCAGAAAAAAAGCTGAAAGAAACAGTATTCTGTATGACATTGGCCAGCAGGAAGATGTGTATGGAAAGGAGGGTTGCAAAGACTGCCAGAACAAACCATCCTGAGGTGTAGAGATCAATGGGAACACCATTATGGAAAACGGAAAATTCATGCAGTCTGTTTCTCACGGGAAACCAAGCTAAGCACATGAAAATCTGCATTCCCCTGCAGCTGAAATTTAATAATGTGTCTTTAAGGGGAGCACAATGTGTTGGGCGTCATAATAATTCAGTCTGGAAGAAGACAGAGACCAGAAGGAAAAATTGCAGGGGCTGGTGAAACACACTGGAAAGATCTTCGAGGGCAGTCTGTAGAAGACTGGAATACAAAAGTTGCGATCAGCTGTGGAAGGGAGTATAAGCCATCCCTATTGCAACCCAGGGGAAAACCCATCTTAAATAGAAACCTTGAAAACAAACCAGAATGTTTTGGTTAACCCCAAGTAATTTTTCATTGGTTTTGCTTTATCTCATTCAAGGTTTCATACAAAACTTTAAAAGGCAATTATTCATTTTGGTTAATTAAATAATTTTTTTTTTTTTTTTTTTTTTTTTAAAAACCTCAGGGTTCAGAATTAGGGGGCTGGTCTTTAGGACGATGGACTCAGGACGGCATTGACATCAACAACAATTTCCCTGATTTAAACTCTTTGCTCTGGGAGTCTGAAGATCAGAAAAAGAGTAAAAGAAAAGTTCCAAACCATCACATCCCGATCCCCGACTGGTACCTGTCCGAAAATGCCACCGTGAGTAAGACCATAGAGAGGGGAACACAAAACCTTATTTTTTATTTGAAATAACATAGCAAACACTGAGACCAATTGCAAAACCAATGCAGCGTCTTATGCAAAACTCGTTTATTGTATCATAGTGCCAAAAATTTGACTTATCTGCTCGTGGCCTCACTCTGCATAGATGTTCCCGCTGCATAAATCACAAACATTCAGTTTTTGTTAGTTTTTATGAGTTGTTAGTGACCTCCAAAGCATGGCTGGCAAACATTGTAATTCAAAGGCCATTTCCTTGGCCACATCACTTGTGCTGGCTTCTCACTTCATGGTAAGAAAACTCACAGTGGCACTCCTGCATCTGTTCTGCCTTTGAAAGAAGATTATTGAACTTCACAGGTTGAATCAAAGCTGCTGTTTCTTTTTCTCCCAGGTGGCAGTGGAGACACGGGCAATAATAGCATGGATGGAAAAAATCCCTTTTGTGCTGGGTGGCAACTTGCAAGGAGGAGAGCTGGTGGTGGCGTACCCCTACGACATGGTGCGATCGTTGTGGAAAACCCAGGATTACACACCCACCCCAGACGACCACGTCTTTCGCTGGCTCGCATATTCCTATGCCTCCACTCACCGCCTGATGACAGATGCAAGAAGGAGAGCATGTCACACGGAGGATTTCCAAAAGGAGGATGGCACTGTTAACGGAGCCTCCTGGCATACCGTGGCTGGAAGTAAGTGTCTCTAGAAACTGCAATTCGCATTGTCATATTAAACATGCTAATGCCATCTCTGACTGGTGTACATCACAGAGGCGCTGGTGGTGAAACATGTTGTTATGGTTTTGACCCTGGCTAGCAGCAAAACACCATAACAGCCGCTTGCTCACCCTCCCCATCCAGCTGTGGGACAGAGAATTAAAGGGGTGAAGGGAAAAGAGACTCATGGGTTGAGACAAGAACAATTTAATAACTAAACTACAATAAAATTGAAAATAATAATAATAATGATGATAATATATCCAAATATACAACTGAGTGATACACAGTGACAGTGCTCACCACCTGATGACCAAGGCTCAGCCTGTTCACAACTAATGATTCTGGAGCAGGGAGAGTCCCAAAACCACAATCCTGGAAGAGATGAGAGCCTGAGGGTCTGAGAGACCGAGGTAACTCAGTGAGAGAGAGAGATGACCCAAAGGAAGAAACACTTCTGGACAGAGCCTCATCTATATACTGGGCATGACATGCATGTTATGGAATAGACCATTGGCCATTGGCCAATTTGGGTCTCAAACTTAAACCTAAGGTCAAATCCTAAGCTAGTAACTGGGGCTGTGCTCCCTCCCAGCTCCTCCTGCCCCTGCAGGAAAGTCCTTGACTGTCCTGGCAGCAGCTCTGCCCATCAGGGTGTGATCAGCTTCTCCTCAGCACAAACCCAAACACAGCCTCTTACTAGCTACCATGAAGAAAGTTAACTCCGTCCCAGCTGAAACCAGGACACACTAAAAGGAGTCTTTCCCCATTTGAAAGTCTGTTCGTTGCATTTCATCGGGTGTCAGAGGACTGAAGGTGACTGTGGTCATTTCATTTATTATTGAGGTTTCCAAAAGTACACATGCCATACATTAGTTTTATGGATTCTGTACATCCAAGGGAGTTTTTCAGGAGAAAACCAACCCAGTCTAAACCCAGTAGCAGGGGGAAACCTGTCAGCCTTTGCTATCTCACAGGCTGCCGACAGCAAAGTGCTGCTAAACATCAAAGATAACCAGCATCGGAGCCGAAGCAGCGACTCGTGCACTGGTCTGGAAGCCTGGGAGAGACTCCAGTGGCCCTCAGATGAGAAAGTCATTATTTCAGCCTCCTGCTCACTAAAGTCAATCGCAAATCAACCCTCACTCACATTCACCTTGAGTTGTATAAACACACCACAAAAAGCTGCTGCTTGCCTGCTACCGTCCTATTTTTAAAAGACCTGGATGTGCTTACACTTAAACTTTGCAGGGACCCCATAGGCAGTTCTGCTGCCAGAATAAATTACACATCGCATCTTTCATCATGTGCCCAAGCCTGTCACCCTGTCAAGGAGCTCGAAGGGGAAGCCGTGTCCTGTAGTGCAGACAAAGCGTGGATTTCCAGGAAAGCCCAATTAGAAGCACATTTTCGGAGGCGATACTTGCGGTTATCTCTATGGGTGTATACTTTGAGCAGGCTCAGAGCAGGCACTCTGCTGACTCATCACGGTTCTGCTCAAAATCTTTGGTTTTTTATAAGTACATCAGTTAGACAATGTATTCTATGAAATTAAGAAATGAGCTCTGTATCTGCCATCACATGAATGACAGTAGGAACAATTAATGGCAAACAGATGCAAGTGAGTGTCTGTGCAGAGCACGTTTTATTGGAGCTGGCTCTTGTTTGTAACTTGCAGGTAGTTTCACTGCATAAACATTTCTAAGTTTTGGCCACAACTTTTATGGCGTTCACACTGGCCCAAGTCAAGTTAACGTTGGCCAGTCTTTGAAAGCTAGAGCCAAGAATTAACTTTTCAAATATTTTTTCAGGAGGTTGAAAAGTGCTGGGTGAACTCTGGGGAAAAGATTGAACTGCTTAGACCACAAGGCCAATGCCTGACAATACATTTCTATTCATTTCTGCAAATTCTAAAAAAAACTCTCTGAATACTAACTTGACCGCTTAATTACCTAATTTATGAGTTTAATTTTCCTAAGTGCTATAAGAAACACAATTATGAATCGATCCAGAAAAGATGACATTGGCCATGTCACTAACAGCTGTCACGCTAAGTTACATTAAGTAATGATGTACAGTACAGATGCTGAATAGTATCTCGATTTCTTAGTAACAATTGCATATTGGATTTGGTTCATCTGATTTGTTTTATTGCTTTGTGATATTTCTCATCATACTTTACATCCTGCTCTCTTCCATTATCATAAGGCTTCCAAGACTGTCTTTGAGAAAAAGGTTGGAATATTGCTTTTACTTCCAATTCTTTGCACCTTGGACTCCAGACTAAGATGTGGTTTCCATTCGAGCTCAGCCTCCAACCTGCAGGACGGTTTTAGCTCTCTCCTCGATGTAGAAAAATGGGAGAAAGTGATTTGTATTGCAGATATATATATATACACATACATATATATGTATTGCAGCTGATAATTAACCAGTGGTGCCTTGCATTGTAGAGGGTTGTCCAAATACCATTCTAGATTTGGAGACAGATTTCCCCAATGTTTATTCACTCTGTAATTCCATGACTATACAGATGTGGTTGTATAGTTCACTTCACTTTTTCAATTTATTATTTTCAATTTATCTAAAGATCAACATGTAACACTTCCCCTAAGCCCCCGCTTGATTAATATCTGGCCTGAAGGTGAGACACCAATAAATTCCTTGCAGAGAGCTGTCCCAATTGTCCTTTGGTGTGGGTGACATCTCCTTGCTCTAGCACAACTCAAAGTTACCCATCCTCTTGCTCTTCATCTGCTTCCAGAAACCACGCACAGAAACCTTTCACTGCCATGGGAAAATTTATAAGGGATTTTTCTGACTCCTTTTCAGCACCAGAGAGTGTATAAAGAAGTCTGTGCACCACAGATATCTTCCACAGATATCAAACCCCTCTGTATGCCTTTGAAACTCAGCCGTACTATTTCCTGCCCATATTCTGGGCTGCAATTCATGCAAGTTCCTCACCAATTTTCCATGTAAAGTTTCTGCACTGGGTGAACTGCACAAAGGCAAAAAAAAAAAAAAAAAAAGATTAATTTTATTTTATTTACGGTGTTTTCAAGGCTGGATTTGCACGTTCACAGAGCTACACAGAGAGTTGCTCTTGGCAATGTAAAACCATTTTCTTAAATACATATATTAAAACTGAGCAATGACTGTGTATTGCAAAATATTTCACGATAGATTAATCGCGATGCGATACAGTCTGTGAGGGGAAAATAATTGTGGCTGTTTCTCAAACAGAAGGGAAACATGTTTATGCAGAGTAGCATATGCCACGGTCTCACATTTAGGTTTTCCCCATCAACAGAAGTGAAAAGCTTAACATCTGTACTATATAATCCTCCTGCTCTGCATCCAGAAGGCACCGAGGGCTCATTAAATACTTGACTACTGCTCTGTGGTGATTGGACAGGACTAGGTTTTTCTTTTTTTTAACTCTTTTCAATCAGAAGTACTTGGTGAATGCATTTCGTGCCATTTTAAAATAGAGCAACTAATGATCATTAATAAACATTTAAAAATATTTTAGTTATTTGAAATGTAGGTGGATAATAAGAAACGAAGCTCCCATCATTTCTTCCTCTAGTGTCCATGTCGTGTTTCACATTATGTATGTGACTGTGCAGAACTAATAAATAGAATTTTCCAAAGGAAAATAATTGTAAGAATCGGGAGGGAAACCTAGAAAATTGAAATGTTTGAGATCTGTATTTACATAGAGTCTTCCTTAGTTCCTGGGTTTTGATTAGGATATTTCTAATGAAAATCCCTGTTGCAGAGCCACGGTGCAGTTTTCAGTCCTCTGCAAAGCCATAATAGGGAGAAAACAGAGTAGATCCTATAATTCCTTAGAAGCTAACAAGCATCATATGTAACTTAAAATAATTTTTGCTACCTTGATTTTTCTGGCTTTCCTATCATTTAGATGACTTGCATGAGAAAACATTTAGACTGAGAAACTATTTCATCACCTGTTCTCATAATTTTTTCCGTAACAATCCCTGTGTGCACATTACTCTGCATCCCGACATTTAGGGTTGGATAAATTCAGTTCATGGCCACACATCCATGCCAGGTCTGCAGATGAAGAATACCCAATTGGTGTCTAAATAAGTTATATTGCTTTGCATAAAATAATCAGATCTGATCAACAGATTAAAAGAAGACATAAAATTGTCTCTTTTTTACCTCCTATTGACAGGTATAAATGACTTCAGTTACCTGCACACAAACTGCTTTGAGCTATCCATCTACGTCGGCTGCGACAAGTATCCCCACGAGAGCGAGCTGCCCGAAGAGTGGGAAAACAACCGCGAGTCCCTCATTGTTTTTATGGAACAGGTATCCAACAGAAGAATAACTTCTGAATAACTTGATGACTCCTTTCAGATTGAAAGAGGTTTAGGGTTTCTGATATTTTTTCTTGCATGACTAATTACGTGATTATTGCTACTTGTGATAGAAATATCACCTACAAGCGGTGCTGGCATATCACATCAGCCAGGCTGGTTTAACTTAGGAGGACAAAATAATGAAGCTTGTTAAAATTTGCAAAGAGCTTGCTAGAAGTGACTGCCAGAAAAAAACAAAACAACAACAAAAAAAACCCAAACCCTTGCATCTGCTGCTTTATCTGCTTGTTTTATCCGTCTCTTGAATCATGCCTCTGGCATGGTAACCGAATTTGTAAGCTGGTTCAGAAGTAGATAATGCCTGGAAGGCTGATACTGGGTTAATAATGATATTTCCAAATCGTGTGAATCATAAAGTATGAATAGAATGCACTTAATTCACATACGGATTTAATGATTTGTTGTGTCTTCCTAATGCTAGTACTGTTCATTGCTGTGCAATATTTATTTGTTTGTTTATTCTCTCAATAGGTCCATCGAGGCATCAAAGGCATAGTGAAAGATGTGCATGGAAAGGGAATCCCAAATGCTGTTATTTCAGTAGAAGGTGTTAACCATGATATTCGCACAGGTAAAAAAAAATAAAAAAAAAAATAAATTAAAAAAAAGGAACAAAAACAAAAAACCCAAACAAAAAAAAACCTAAACAAAAAAAAAGGCAAAACCCAGCTTCAGTGCAATTGGACAGATTTATTGTTAAAACAAGAAAAAACCAAACCAAAATACAGAAACTCATTGCAACGTTGAAGTCTTTTCTGAGAAAAGCCAGCAAATAGTATATAATCCAAGGAGAGTGCTGCAGGAGTGGTGCATGAGGAGGGAGTCACTTCTTCCCAGGGCTCAGCAGCATAGACAAGAACAGAACTGTGGCTTTCCTCTTTGCCCCTGCTCCTTTTCTTCCCACCTCTTACAAAATATTGAGCAAACAGCCTTTATCCTGGCAAAATCACTAGCGTGAGTAGGGTTGTGTCTAAAGGACTCTTATTGCTCCTTTTCTCATGTAGAGGTATCACAGATCTAACCCAGAATAATTATAGCACTGAAAAACGAGGGTGTAGGTAACGCCTGGTTGGGCAAAGAGTGTTTCTCTGGCTGTTAGCAGTTGTAGGACTGGGAACGTGTTGGAGATGGGATTTAGAGCTGTGTCCAGAGGAGGAACAGCTGTTTTGGGGAAGGGGGAGTTTCACAACCCAAAGAGTCTCCTGCAGAACATCATGGCTTTATAAAAGATCATTTAATGGGGCTCAGCAGAGACACTCCTTTGCACTGGTGAATTTCAGCCCAGAGAATTACTTTTCAATGTGTATAGTTTAAAAAAAAAAAACCACACACAAATGGCTTTCTACCTCCTTAGCACGGAATTACTTTTCAATGTGTATAGTTTAAAAAAAAAAACCACACACAAATGGCTTTCTGCCTTCTTAGCACAGTCTTGATCTATACCCAGACACGGATATGTGTATTCAGAGTGAGCTCTAAGCTTATTTAATGTCCTGGAAAGCAGTTATGGCACTAAATAAAGAACCTTTTAAAATAGACACAATTACAAGACTATTAGTAATACCCAAAACTTGTTGTTGGCAGGTAGTGGGCAGGATAGAGTCCCAATGGCCATTTTTTTTTTTTTGTCTAGGGGCTATACAGTGATTTAAGACACCCAGTCATCTTAAATGGAGAAAAAACAGGGAGGATATAGCAAGGAGAGGAGCATGTGTAAAGAAATAGTAAAACAAGACGTCAGCAGGAGTCTTTGTGTGATTGCACTCAAAGAGCTGGTTACAAGAGTTTGACAAGGTTTCTGTTGGACGTTTACGGAAAGGTGGCATCATGGTAAATTATCAGAAAAATCATATTCTTCCATACGCTCAATTTGGTTCAATATTAAAAACAGGAACACTAATTTTATGTATTTTTTACATCCTGACTGGCTTTCTGGGTCTTTCATTAGCTGCCACCATCATGTGCTTTGCCACTGAGGTACAGTGTGGCACTCTTTGACACTTAAACTGATTTCAGGTTATGGAATATCAGAGATAAGAGACTTCCAAATCTTTAATGTTTGCCACAGCAGATTATCTGAGCCAATAACAAATTTTAAAATATCTAACTTAGTTCATGATTAATTTTATTTCAGTGCTACTGTGTACCTGTTGTAAAAAGAAAACATTGAATGACAGATATTTAATTAAGCAATAATGATTCTGCCTTAAATATTTCAAAATGGGACCACTGGGAAATGATAGTGGGAATTAGTAATCGGTCGTTTTTCCTTGGAAAAGTCTTGGCTGTTTTGAAAGGCTGCCATAAACTGTAGGTTGTATTAATCTGTTAGCAGAGTTAATGTATTGCTCTGGTTGAGCTGAGGTCGTTAATCTCCAGTTCTCAGTACGCTGGATGGATACATGAAGTTTAAAGACAGCAGACATGCATACTGAAAGGATTACCTGTGGCATGGTAATAATGGTGGAGGATCCCAAAATCCACCTTGTTCAGGGAATCTTGCAGCTATTCACATCTAGACTTAGAGCTGAGCTTCTATGGCTCAATCTATCTCTATATCTAGAGTTGTTAGTAAAAATAAAAGTACATATTTCATCCTTTTAAATTATTTTTTTAATGAGACATTTAAGCTGACACCATTTGGGAATCACTTTGTAGATGGGAAGGTAAAAGTTCTATCTTGTTTTATATTCTACAGATAACAATGTATGTCTCATTAACCTGTGAAACTCGAGAATTTATGTTGGAGCCAAATAGCTAAAACGACCCGTAAAAGTCCAGAGAAAGAAGGCAAATTGTCAGCAGTCACCATTCATTTATAACTTTTTAAATGAAAAACCTATCCATTTAAATCTCTGAGTTGCCTTAATACAAAAATAGGCCAAGCAGGAGAAGAATTACGGCCACTGTCTCTAGTCATACAAGTTTTGTTTAAAGTGAGCTAAGCTGTAAGGTATCTGCTATTTCTTTGATATATTAGTATGATCACCTACCCTGTAGAGCCAGACAAAAGTTGTCCGTAAAGCCCTTCTAATAACATTTGCTTGTTGGAAAAAATTTCTTGTGGACAAAAAAAAAAAGTGCATGGAAAGCACTTCTTTTTTATTTTCTTTGGAGATACAATATATCTTATGGGAAGAGAGGGTTGCTGACACTGAGAAAACAATATTAATAGGCTAATAGAAGTCATTGATTCTGAGAGAAAGAGCTTTGTGGAAAATTATTCCATTTTCTCTTGATGTAGATGTAGCTATTGATTAAGTCTGAGCAATTACTTGTTGTTACTGTTAGATGTGGACCTCGCTTTAGGAGATAACCTTTGGAAAAGTGTTCATCAATTGGATGAACAAATGCCCCTGGACACCATTTTTCCCCATGGTGCAATGGCAGTTTTGTGGGTTGCTTCTTCTAATTTTGGAAATCTCAAAGCAAATCTTGAAGAAGAAATATATTGCTCCCTTCTAGTGAAACACTTTTGCATGACAGCTTGTACCAGATTCCCAAGAAAGATGCACATTTCCCTGTGATTTTTGCAATAAAGCATAACTAATTTAATTTCACACAACGTCCAGAGAAAATTTTATTAATATTTTGGTAAGTTTCATATGATTTCAGTATAAATAATGTAACCAAACTCAAAGATCTTGAAGTAGCATTTAATATTACTCAGTAACATTGATCTCAGCTAAGCAGAATTCTGGTATTCGAACTCTCCAGCCTTTTTCTCATTCCTGGCTGCCTGCTCAGCAGAGAAAAGTTTTGGATATTAGGTGCATTGGGCATGCAGCACCATGGCTAGCTTTTCTGAACAGTCTTTTGTAGGTAACAGAGCATTAGGGTATATTTTTATAATGTATTTGAATTAGCAAAATTTGGTACATTTAAGTGTAAGTATGACGTTTAATTGTAACAGAGGTCTGTCTTATCAGACTCAAAGTGTGTTCCTCTTAGCTGAAGTGTTTATGGAGTCATCCAACACATTTAATTTATAATAATACTATCTTTGCATTTTTATGTATTCTTATTTTATCTGAGCAGACATGGCAGTTATTTGACAGACCCAATAAGTGGAGGTAGATGTAGTCTGCTCCAACCTGCTCCCACTGGAGTCTATCCTATTACTTACTAAATTTATCTGTATTTTTAATTGTGTTCCTCTTGCCATCTGTTATGAAATTTTTTAACTACTGCATTTAATCTGATTTTCAGAAAAACCCCTTTTAGTATTAAATTCTGGGCCATGACAGCTGATACTGATGTCTACTTGCTTGTAAATGGAAAGGAGGTAAAGCCCATCCTCCTAACAGTTTGATATCCAGCTTTGTAATAATTTCCTGTTGACGTGTGAGTGTGTAGGTTTTTTTTCTGGCCCTGTGTGGGGTTGTGATGAAGTTCCTGTCAAATGTGGCAGGAAAATGTGGGTCAGTTTTGAAGTCCAGGGGCTAAAACCAGCTTCTGAGTCGAGATGTGTTCATAGCCACACATGGGGTGATCCATAGCCTTTTGCTAGAGCATTTACAGCTAAAAAAATGAGCCCTTAGGGATAAATTAAAGAAACCTGGGCAGCTTTATGTTTGGCCTTTTGGTTAAGGTGTCAATGGATCCAATAGTAAGGGAGAACTGAACTAAGAGCTGCTCAGAGAGCCCTTCCTAAAAACGCCTGAGTCCTGAGAAACAGAAAATCTGGAGATGGATCATCACCCCAAGTGGGCGCTAACTGTCTGAAAGAAAAACCCAAGCATGCTGATGTGCAAAAATGGACATGATCAAGTGTGTTCCTCGCGTGCAATTTCACACTTGCATTCAGAGACTGTGATATTAGGGTATAGCTGATATCAATAGCTGATATCGCTGTTTTGCTAACACTTGCCTTTTGCAAACATATTCACTATTTTACCAAGCACTAAATGAAAATCATATTTCTTTAAACAGAAGCTAGCTAGTCTGATCTTTTCCCAAATAGAATATTTTTATGCAAATCTTGTTTGGTTTTTGCAACACGCTGCATTGCAAGCTACCCAAGGCTAGATGCTAAAGCTGTCGGTTCCCATCAGTGCTAAAAAAACCCAACCCATCTTCATACAAGAGATGTTGCATTTCTATTTATATAGAGAATTTGCACTTTCACTCCACAGTGGGTTTTCCCAGGATACAGTGCAAAAGTAATTTTAGATATTAGTGTTTCACCTTTTCCAGTCCACAGCTAAGCATACTTGCTAGTTAAAGTAACATTAAAAAAAAATTATAAAACAATCCTTATGTATGTATGGGTAGTGTGAGATCACTTACGGGAAAAAAGAAACAAGCAGAAAGTCCTTATTCAACGAGGTGTTAAAATACATCTTGCTTTGTGCATGAGCATTTTAATTGGTTATGGGAGCTCTGTTCGTGCATTTACAGGTTACCAAGTCATTAAGTACCACGATAAATTAATGTTTGTAGGAAAATGAGTGTAATAAAGCTCAATGTAGGGTTTTCTGGAAGGGGATATTTACTTAGATCTCTAAGTGAGTTGACATTATGCTTTCACATGCTTCGCATACTAAATCGCAACAAAACACTTGTGTCCAGGAGATCTGGCCAGGACTACAAGTGCGATGTGCATCCCTCCCTGGGGCTCTTGATTGCCAAAAAGAAATTAATTTGGGGATGATCTTTTATACCCTTCAGGAATCACCAACCATTACAAGGCGACCCTTTGCCTCAGGATCTTCCTGACTTCAACTGACAAAAATCTTAGCCCAGAGTGAAGCCTTTTTTTCATCATTTAGAAAACACGGTTGAGGTGTCTTTTCCTGTAGGGTTGTCAGGATGAGGAGGGTATGTGTGATGGGGGTTAACCCCGTTGGCACCTTCCTGGTGTGAAGATGCAGGGTTGTTGCTTCCAGGGTCATTTTACCTGTGTGCAGGCTTTTCTGTATTAAAAAAACAAGAAGAAAGGGCCACTGTCCTGAAAACCGTCTCTTTTGCCCCTAGGAGCTGATGGGGATTACTGGCGTCTTCTCAACCCAGGGGAATACGTGGTGGGCGTGAAGGCGGAGGGCTACACCACCGCCACCAAGACCTGTGAAGTCGGTTACGACATGGGAGCGACCCAATGCGACTTCACCATCTCCAAAACCAACCTGGCGAGAATCAAGGAGATCATGAAGAAATTTGGGAAGCAGCCCATCAGCTTGTCCATGCGGCGGCTCCGGCAAAGGGCTCGACAGTGGCGGCAGCAGAGATAGACCTCATCCCGGGCAGCCCGAGGGGTCCACGAGCTCTGCTTCTATCAGCCTGGCTGTAGTCGTAGTGAGAATTACATAGCCCGTCTCTTCATACATATTTCTCTGCACAAGGCCTTTCTGTTAGTGGAGCTGGATGAAAAGGGGGATTTTTTTCATTTTGGCGAAAAAAATCAGCAACAAAATTCACGTTGAACCAAAATAAGCCACGGGTTGCGGGGAGAGGCAAGAAGGATATAGATAGATGGTTTGAGTTAACCTGGGAAGAAATTTTTTGTTTGTTGGGTTATTTAATCCTTTGTAAATGTGTTTTCTTTAAAAGCAGAAAAAAGGGAAAAAAAAGAGATACTTATAAAGGAGAAGTGTTGTTTTGAATGAAAACCTGAAAAATGTTGTTTCTAAAGTATAAAATTGGTATATTTTTACAATTAAAAAAAAGTTTTGGCACTCTCTACATTTTATTCTCCTATGGGAGGAAAGCTGAGAGGGGACAACTTCTGTTGAATATCACTACAATTTGTGTCAAAAGTTCAGTCTACCTTCCCTTACAAGTCCACCTTTTGACAAGCACCATAATATTTGGGGAAAAAAACCTAAAGTGAACAACCCACCTTAGCATTCCTG